TGTCCTGGCTCGCTTTGTTGCGACAGGCAGGCACTAACCAGTCCACTGGTCGGCTGCCAAGAAGAGTACTGCGGTATCTGGCGAGTACATCAGAACTGGGGCTTGTGCTAGGAGAGGAGCCAATGGTGCTCACTGGACACACAAACGCATCGTGGGCTGATGACGTGGAGATGCTTAGGTCGTCTCAGGGATACTATTTTAGTCTTGGTGCTGGTGTAGTCTCCTGGAGGTCCACCAAGTCGTCGTCTGTAGCTCTGTCCAGTTGTGAGGCAGAGATCTACGCTGGGGCCATGGCCGCTCAGGAGATCCGCTGGGTGAAGTTCTTGCTCTCGGACTTAGGTGAGCAGCCTAGGTCTGCCCCGGTCATGTTTGCTAACAACAGGGCCATTATCCTCCTGTGTCAGGAGGCTCGACTTGAGGGCAGGGCAAAGCACATCCAGCTGCGGTACTTCTTGTTGCTTGAGTTGCAGCAGCGCGGTCAGGCTCGAGTGGTACAGTGACCAAGAGGATGGTTGAGCAGCAACATTGGAATTTTTGCAAGCTTTTTGGGATGTCTCTGAACTAAGGGGAGCAGATTCTAAGGCCAACAATCCCAGGAGGAGTTTGTTGGTGCAACCCTATGGCTTGCACTCGGCTTGTCGTCCTTGTTCGTGTGTGTGCACGCATGGCATAGAATGACCTGTAAGTCTATGTCATTGCTATCTAGTGCTTGTGTGTGTGCTTAAATGGTGTATCACAATGTGGTTTGTGTCGGTCAAGACATTAGCGAGTTTTTACAACTCACATGCCAGGTTGTCGTTTGCGTGTCGCATGAGTTTATGTATTTAGTCCAGTGTGAAGTGTCCATCGTGCCGAAGGTGTGTGCAGCAAGCCCTCATCAACTCAAGAAGAATTTATCTTGCAGAATCAAGACCAAGAGATCAAGATTTCAAGCCCCTGGGAAGTGGATAAATATTAAAATAGATATGGCAGGGTATGGCAGCAACAACAACAATAATGGCTATGGGCGTGGGCGCGGTCAGTTTGATGGTGAATGTCACTTTTGCCACAAGACCAGCCACATGTGGAGAGATTGCTTCAGATTGCCCAAAGGATGGACCCCTTCTCAAGGCCAAGATGGCAGAGGAGCAAGGGGAGGAAGAGGCGGAGGTCGTGGAGGCCGTGGTGGTCGTGGAAGCGAAGTGGCAAGCATGAAAGGTGGAGACTACGACACGGACTCGAGTGAAGATCGATGCCCGGGCCAATTCTTCTTTGTCTCCACGCAAGCGGCAGCTGCAGCAGGAGCTGTGGAAGGCTTTGAGGAGCCAGCTACTGTGGGAAAGGTCACTCTTCACTCTCTGGAATTTTGGGTGATCGATAGCTGCGCCATCTATTGCATGACACCTCGTGCGGACTTGCTCACCGAACTTGAACCGTCACCGGTCAAGCATGTTACATCGGCTTTGGGGCAGCGAGCAGAGGTGAAAGGCATGGGCAAAGCCATGTTCAAGGGTGCTGATGGGAAGATGGTGGGCCTCAAGAACGTGCTTTGGGTGCCCAACCTTGCAGCCATCCTGATTTCCGTGCGGCGTTTGCAAAAGGCCGGCATGGACACATCTTCCAAGGGATCCAAAACTTATGCCGCGAGGCTTGGTGAGCGGAAGCTTTGGGACCTTCATGAGAACAGGGACATCTACAATGAGATGTGGAAAATCCCAGTGGTTCCCATGCCTCAGGGGAAGCAAGCAGCAGCAAGCGTCAGCACCAAGACTGAGGCGGTTGGTGGCGGTGATCACGGAAAGCAAAGTGACACCAAGAGTGACTCGCTGGAGTGCAATCTTAGAGGGACCAGGAAGGCGTGTGGTGCAGCAGCTAAAGATGGTGGAAATGAGGAGGAGAAGGCTAAGATCAGCAAAGCACCAGCAGTAATGGAGAAAGGAGAGAGCTTGTGGGGCACAATTGCGAGTGCCGCTTTCTCCAACCCGACTTCCGCTACGGGAAGGTGTGATTGGCTGACCTTGCATCGGCAAATGGGGCATGTGGCATTGCCCATTTTGCAGTAGATAGTTAAGCAAGAGATGATCAGTAATATACGTGTCAATGGGGAGCCCAATGAGGTGCTTGGCTGTCCAGCATGCTTGCAAGCCAAGTTCACCCGCTTTCCGTTCCATAGCTCCACTTGACGAGGTGGTGATGGATGTGGTGGGCCCCTTGAAGCTTGGAGCTGCTAGAGTAGAGTACTTCCTCACCATTGTGGACGTCTACACTCGCATGACTTGGGTGTATGTGATGCCCAAGAAGAGCGACGTAGCTGAAACGGTGAAGACCGATTGGTTACCGACGGTGGAGCGGCAACAAGACCGGCTTGTGAAGGCGATTCGCACTGACCGTGGGGGAGAGTTCCTGAGCAAGGATTTCTCAACTTGGCTGAAGAAGCAGGGCATAAGGCACTCTCTCACCATGCCCTACTCTCCTGCAATGAACGGCATCGCCGAGCGTGCGAATCGGACCCTCACGGAGACGGCTCTTGGAATTCTCATTGAAGCCGGTCTACCCAATTACTTTTGGCCGGATGCGGTGCGGCATGCTTGTGTGGCCAAGAACAGATCCTTGACTCATGTGGGAGAAGACAAATGGATGCCCTATGTAGAGTGGATTGGAAGGAAGCCGAAGGTGGATATGCTTCGGGTGTTCGGGTGCATGTGCATGGCACTTGTGCCTCAAAAACTTCGGCACAACAAGCTTGATGCCAAGGCAACATGTGCCATGCACCTGGGCATGGCTCAAAACAGCAAGGGATGGCTTCTTTGGGACCCATTTACCAAGAATTTCCTGGTGAGCAGAGATTGCAAGTTCATGGAGAACTTACCGTACAAGGAGTGGAAGGCGGAGAACCAAGCGAAGATTGGTGTGCGGCTTGGAGAGGTGAAGAGTACCAGCTTGGAGCATATGGAGCTGCCCTTGGAACTGAGTAGCAGCAGCACAATCACAAGGCAATCTCCCCAAATGAATGGGGGAGAAAAGAAGGAGGAGGTGCAGCAAGGTGATGAGTGTGCACCGTCACGTCCGCCTCGTGCTACAAGTGCTCGCGAGAACCGACCAGATTTGTAGCAATGCCATGAGAGCTTCCAAGTCCCTACAGCAGAGGAGGAAGGAAGGGGGATAAGGAAGACTCAGTCCCTCAATAGGTTGAGCTATGACCGGCTTGGAAGACCAACCAACTCAACCTTGACCGGTTGGGCTCTCATGCTAGGCGATGATGCTGAAGATGAAGGCCCTAGGCCGCTAACCGGGGCAGAGCTAGGCCGCTAACCGGGGCAGAGCTAGGCCGCTCACCCAGGTCGGTGAGCACCCGCCGTCTTACCGCTTCTTTCACTCCTGTGACGTCACTTTCGGGGAGTCTGTCTTCTTCTACCACCGCTTTCCCCATCAAGGTCTCCCGGTTTCCCCACCCTTGTTTCTGGTTCCCACCCCCCCGGTAGCCCCTGCTCTCCTCCCACCCCGTCCTGCTCCGTCTGGTGTTTCTCACGTCACTCCCCTCCCGTCGGTTGTCCCGGTCGAGCAGTCGGCTCACTCTGGTGGCCCCGCGGCGCATTTATCGCCGCTTGTTTCTCCCCCGGTGTCTCCTCCTCCGCCGTCGCAGTAGCGGCCGCAGTCACCGCCGCAATCGCCGCCACAGCAGCAGCAGCCGTCCGTGGGCTCTAGGGGTGCGGGCGTTGAGGAGGGTGCTTGTCCAGGGGTTCATGTCGTGGCTACTCCCGGCGGTAACGGGGGTGGCACCAGTGCTGGAAAGGGTTCTCGTTCTAGGGGTGCTGGAGTGGAGCATTCCGAAGGTAGCCATGCTGTAGCCAGCTCCCTCCTCGCTCACGATAGACTTTGTTCTCGATAGTGGTGCCACTGAAACTGCCCTCAAAGACGCCGGCACCCTCACCTCCCTCCCTTTCCCCACCAACGTTCATGGCACTGATTCCAGCTTCTCCATCCCTTGCACTCATCTCTCCACCCTCCCCTGCCCCCCCTTCCCCTCCGGAGTGGTCACTGGTCTCCACATTCCCTCCCTTCATCATAACCTGCTCTCCATCCGTGAACTCCAACAGGCTGGCATCACTACCCTCTTCCCCGCCTCTGCCACCTACTGTGACCTCCTCCACGGCCCCACTCGTCGCCTCCTTCATCGCCTCCCACTTTGCCCTCGCTCTCGTCAGTACATCCTCAGCACACCGCGCCCCTCCTCATGCCACGTGACCACTCGTGCAGGCACCTCCACTCTCCCCCCTCCCCTCCCTCTAGAGCCACCTTCCTCCAACTCCACCTCCCCCCCATGCTCTTGTCGTGCACTGTCCCACCCCGCTGTTCTCATCCACCATCGCCTTGGTCATATGATTTTTTCCACACTTCGTAAAGCCGTCTCCTCCCGCTTGCTTGACGGTCTTCCGCCCACTCTTCCTCCCCTCCCGTCCTCTTCCGCTCCCCCATGCACCACATGCATTCATGGAAAGCTCAAACAACAACCTCACCTCAGTCATCCTTCCGCTGCTGCCCCCCTTGACCTCGTCCACATGGACCTCTGGGGGCCTAACCCTTCCCCTTCCCGCCAAGGGCACCGGTACATGCTTGTCCTAGGTCGACGACCACAGCAGATACTCCTCGGTGTTCCTTCTCCACACAAAGGCCGAGGCCCATGCTGTCATCGTTACCTGGGCCGAGCAGTGCCGTGTCCACTTTGGTCGCCCCATCCGCCGCCTCCATTCCGACGGTGGTGGTGACTTTTCTCAACCGCACCCTCTCCTCCTACTGCTCAACCCATAGCATCCAGCAGACTCATACCCTTCCCCACTCCCCTCAGCAGAACGGTGTTGCTGAGAGTCGCATTCGTGATATCACCAAGACGGCCCGCTGCCTCCTCACTCATGCCTCCACGCCCCCTTCTCTTTGGGGCTATGCCCTTGTCCATGCTGCTCTCCTCACTAATCTTTACCCACATCCTCAACGCCAGTCCGTCACTCCCACAGAGCTCTGGGCTAGCACCAAGCCAGATGCTGCCATTCTCCGTATCTGGGGTTGCAAGGCATATGTCCTCATCCCCCCACCTGACCGCTCTAAGCAGGCAGGAAAGCTTGCCTCCAAGGCCATTGAGTGTGTCTACCTTGGCCACGCTCGCTCTGCCCCTGGTTACCTCTTCCTTCACCCGTCCTTAGGCCGCCTCCTACAGAGCCGTGAAGTGGTGTTCGATGAGAGCATCCCGTTCTATCATTCTGTTCCGCCTTCCGACCCACTTCCTCCTCTCTCCCGCCCCCTCACCTGGGGTGATGCTGCCATTCCCCCACTCCTTCCCCAGGCTCCCCTCCTTCAACCAAATCCTGCTCCTCCCCCTCCTCCTTCCTCAGGTGACATTTACGACCCAGCTGTCCCTGACTCCCCTACTCACTCTGCCTCATCGCACCAGCACCAGCACCAGCAGCAGCGGATGGAGCAGCAGCGGCAGCAGCAGCAGCAGCAGCAACAGCAGCAGCAGCAGGAGATGCAGCAGCAGCTGCGGATGGAGCAGCAGCAGCAGCAGCAGCAACCGCAGGCAGTGCAGCAACAGCAGCCGCAGTAGGAGGTGCAGCAGCAGCAGCAGCAGCCACAACAGCAGCAACCACAGCAGCAACCTCATCGGCATCGCTGCACCACCTCTCCATTTATCCTCCCACGCATCCACACTCGCTCTCATGGCCCACTCATAGGCCATCCATGGGGTTGGCCAACGCCACCCCCACCCTCCCTTCCCTTCATCGAGGACTCCCATGAGGAGCTCATTGGCATTCAGCGACAAACACCTTCCCTCACACCTCTCTACCCGAGCTTCCTTGGCCTCCTCATCCTTGGCATCGCTACCGCTCCCACCATATTCACCCCGTCCAACTTCCTTGAGGCCATCACCTGCCCGGATGCTGCCAAGTGGATCCAGGCTATCTTTGCTGAATGCGAGGCCTTCATCCGCAATGCCTCATTCATTGACATTGTCCCCTCTCCTGACGACGTCATTGTTGAAGGCCTGTGGGTGTTCCGAGTGAAGCAGTTGCCGGGTGAGGAGCCGGTCTACAAGGCCCGGTATTGTGCCAAGGGCTTCACCCAGACCCATGGCATCGACTACTGGGAGACATTCTCTCCCACTGCCAAGCTCCCAACTCTCCGTGCCATCCTCGACTATGCTGTTCGCATTGGCATGGAGATTGCCTCGATGGATGTCTCCAACGCCTTCCTGCAAGGCGAGCTCCAGGAGCGGGTCCTCTTGCGGCGGCTTCCAGGCTTTCATGCAGCCTTCCCTCCACACACAGTCTGGGAGCTGCGCCGCCCGGTTTATGGCCTCAAGCAGGCTCCTCGCGAGTGGCACAACAAGCTGGCCGCCACTTTGCAGTCCCTGGGGTTCCATGCCTCTCAGTCTGATGCCAGCCTTTTCCTTCGCTCTTCTCCCACCCGCTTCTTCATCCTGGTGTATGTCGACAACATGATCCTGTTCGCTGACGATGCTGCCGCCATGCAGCAAGTGAAGGACGCCCTGCATGCTTGCCTCAAGTGCAAGGACCTGGGTGAGCTCAAGCACTATCTGGGCATGACCATCACCTGGGACTGCGCATCGCGCACCATTACCCTCTCTCAATCCTTCTACATCGACCAAGTCTTGCAGCGGTTCGACATGGCGCAGGCCAAGCCGGTTACCACTTCCCTGCAGACTGACCACCAGCTTGCCCCTCCTCCTGCTCCCTCCTCCTCTGACCATCCTTACGCTGAGCTCGTCGGTTCGCTGATGTACGCTATGATGTGCACCCGCCAAGACCTTGCCTACCCCATCAGCGTTCTTGCTCGCTTCGTCGGTACCGGTCGTCACACGGATGAGCACTGGGCTGCAGCGAAGCGGGTACTCCGCTACCTCCGTGGTACCAAGGACTATGTCCTCACCCTCGGAGGCTCTTCTCCTCCCCTCCTCTCTGGCTTCAGTGACTCCTCCTGGGCTGACTCCCAGCCGGATCGCCGCTCCTCTCAAGGCTACGGCTTCACCCTTGGCAGCGGCCTCATCAGCTGGCGCTCCACTCGCTCCTCCTCCATCGCCCTCTCATCCTGCGAGGCTGAGCTCTATGCTTGCACCATGGCCGCTCAGGAGGCTTGCTGGCTCACCTTCCTCCTTGCTGAGATCGGTGCTCCTCAGCGCTGTCCCACCCTCTGGTGCGACAACGCCAGCACCATCCATCTCACAAAGGACCCTGTCTTCCATGGCCGCTCCAAGCGCATTGAACTCCGCTACTTCTTCGTTCGGGAGTTGGTCCAGCAAGGTCACTTGATGGTCCGCAAGATCGCTGCAGAGGCCAACTTGGCCGACATCTTCACCAAGGCCCTCCCGAAGACCGCGCACTCTGCCCTTCTCCGCCTTCTCGGCCTTGGGCCCCGCCCCCCTTCCTGATTCTGGGGTTGTACATTATATATACACTAGCTTTGCATGCTATGGGGTTGTGTTAGAATATACCATGCTATGCTAGTTGTGTATATTGTGTTTACATCCCTAATTGGGTGTACACCTGTGTTGGGGTGTCAATCCAACCCAATTGTGGTTGGAGCCCCCAAACACAAGGACCACAATTGTGGGGCAACCACAAGTGGGTTGCCTAAGCCACTTGTGGTCGACCATACTTGGACCACCTCCCACTTGTGGTCAACCACATTTGGAAGGATGCTCCCTCCCTTGTGATTGGTCCTAACCCCCCCTTCCCTTCCAACCTTCCCTTCCTAGCTCATCTCTCTCTTCCTATGTAATGCCTTTGCTTGATCAATAAACTCAACATTTCTGTTTCTAACACACCAAGGCTAAAGCAGTAGCCCTGTGAGGACTTGAGAGTCTCGGAGTCGTCTGCCTAAGAAGCGTCTGTGTGCTCGGTAAGGACCATTGGTCAACGTCCTCCTAGCACTAGCCCCATGCCCGATGTACTTGCTAGATAACGCAAAACCCTCTTAGCTGCCGACCAGTGCTGTGGTCGGTGTCTGCTTGGGCCCACAAAGCAAGCCAAGGTGTTGAGAGGTTATGCAAGATCTGGACGAGTGCAAGTCATCAGGTACATGAGGCAACCCACCAGCTCTGCGTAGGGACCACTAGGCTCTACAACCTCCTCCGGGACTGGAGCAGAGAATCTGTGGTCTACTGGAAAAGGGGTGGGCTGTGCGGAAGAGAACTGAAGGCTGAACCTCTTCAGAACCGTCGGAGTAAGCCCACTGAGTAGGGGCACAGCCCTGAAAGATAGAGACCGGCAAGGTACCGCTAGACAGAGCGATAGAGCGCTGACGAGTCTCTACGGTAGACAGGGTGTCAACAAAGTCAGTGAGGGTGAGGTCAGCGGGGTGGAGACTAAGGAAGTGATCGCAGGCGGTGGCAAGGCGGTTAGGTAGGCGGGTGGCAAGCAAGTAGAGGGTAGAGCAGATGGCGGGCTGAAACGCACGAAGCTGGGCCTCAGTACAGGCAGCGTGCCAGGTCATGTCTAGCGTGCGCAGGTGGGCAGCTAGGTCAGCGAGAGTGAGGAAAGACGCAAGGTCAGGAAAGAGCATGGGCAGGATCAGGCGACCTACGGAGGCAGAGGGCGTGGTGGAATAGCGTGCAACAACAGCCTCTAGGAACTCCTACACAGTCCTGATCGACCTAAAGCGGGGCGCTCGGACAGGGGAAGGGCATGACTAATCACAAGCTATGCGACATCGTCACGTGACAACCAGAGAGCACGGCCAACGGCAGCAGCGGCAGCGGACTCACGGTCAGCAGACGTGGGGTCAACGGGGAGGGCAGCAGGGGGGTCCGGGCAGGGGAGCATACCATTGATGTGGATGGCCAGGGAGTGGCCGTCCTGCTGCTGACCAGTCAGGTGTCGTTGGAGGTCGAAGAGCCTTGAGTCGAACTCAATCGGCTGCCTCTCCGCATCAAAACGCAGGACCGAGTCCGCCATCATGGTCGATGCAACAGCAGAAAGGCGGTACTGGGCAGTAGGGTGCGGCGGAAAGCGGTGATGTGCGGTGCAGTGCTGTACAGTGTGGTAGAGGGAGGTGCAGTACGGTAGGGTGCAATGCAGTGCGTTGCAGCACAGTGCAGTGCGGTGCAGGGCGGTGAATTGCGATTCAGAGCGGTGCAGTGCGGTATCGGGCAGTGTAGTGCGGTGCCGGGCGGTGCAGCACCGTGCAGAGGGCAGAGGACAGCGGCTAGGTGTTGAGGACACGGGTCCGCGGGCGGCGAGGCGACGGGGCTGGCTAGGCAAGGAGGTGACGGGGCCGGCTGGGCTACGGGGTGGCTTGGCGACGGGGCCAGCAAGGGGACAGGGCCGGTCGGGCGACGGGGCCTGGTAGGCGACGAGGTCGGCTAGGAGGCGCGGCCAGCTAGGGGACGAGGCCGGCTGGGCAACGAGGCCGGCGAGGCGACGGGGCCGGTTGGGAGGCGGGATCGGCTAGGAGGTGGGTCGGCAAGGAGGTGAAGCCGGTTAGGAGACGGGGCCGGCTGGGCGATGGGGCCGGCTGGGCTACAAGGCCGGCGAGGCGACGGTGCCGGCTAGGAGGCGGGGTCGGCCAGGAGGCGGGGCCAGCTAGGAGGCAGGACCGGCTGGGCGACGGGGCTGGCTAGGCGACGGGGCCGGCTAGGCGACGGGGCTGAGTGGGCGACGGGGCCAGCTAGGACGCGGTGTCAAACATATATTCTATGTTTGTTATAGATTATATAGGGTTGTGCTTTAAGGAGTACAACCCATTTAGGTTATATTCCCTTGTATGAAACTTTCCTCATCATTCTTTCACTTTGATATGGTATCATGAATAGGTAGGTCCCCCCCCCCCCACCCCCTTAGCGCTTCCGCCCTAGGTCCTAGCCGCCCCGTTCCCCTCCCGCACGTGCTGGCCCGTCTCCTAGCCATCCCCGTTGCCTAGCCGGCCCTGTCGCCTAGCTGGCCCCGTAGCCCAGCTCGCCCCCCCTCCTAGCCGGCCCCGCCTCCTAGCAGGCCCCGCCGCCCAATCGGCCCCATTGGCCCCGCCTCCTACCTGGCCCCGCCGCCCTTGCGGTCCTGTCAACCCCGCCTCCTAGCTGGCCCCGCCGCCCGAATCCGCCCCGTCATCCTAGCCGGCCCCGTCCTCCTAGACCGCCCCGTAGCTCAGTGGGCCCCGCCTCCTAGCTGGCCCCGTCGCCCACTCGGCCCCGTCGCCTAGCCGTCCTCGTCGTCAGACCGGCCTTGTCGCCTAACTGGCACCCGTCGCCTAGCCGGCCCCGTAATCCAGCCGGCCTCGCCCCCTAGCCGGCCCCGTCGCATCGCTGGTCTCGTCGCCCAGCTGGCCCCGTCTCCCTACCGGCCCCGCCTCCTAGCTGACCCCGTCGCCTAGCAGGCCCGTCGCCCGACCAACCCCATCCCCTTGCTGGCCTCGTCGCCTAGCCGGCCCCGTCGCCTTGCCGCCCGCGGCCCCGTCTCCTAGACGCCTCGCCGCCGTCCTCGGCCCTCTGCACCGCGCTGCACCACTCGGCACCGCTCTGCACCGCTCTGCACCACACTGCACTGCACTGCGCTGCACTGCACTGTACCGCACCCTACCATACTGCACCTCCCTCTACCGCACTGTACAGCACTGCACCGCACATCACCGCTTTCTGCCACACCCTACTATCTAGTACTGCCTTTCTGCTGCTGCGGCAACCATGATGGCGGGCTCGGTCCTATGATTTGATGCGGAGGGGCAGCCGATTGAGTTCAATTCGTGG